GTTTTTGACAAAACCCCCCAAAAAAACATTTTATCTCACTAAAACCCCAAAACTTTCCGAAAAAAATCAAAAACCCCCCCCAAAACGCCTAAAAACCCAACTTGGGCGCCCATTAATGCAGTGCACGCCCAAGTTGGGCGTGCAAGCTGCATTTGGGCGCCCGAGTTGGGCGTCCAGTGCAAAATTTCTTTTTTTTTTTTTTTTTTTTTTTTTTTTTAAATTGTCGAACGCCCAAGATGGGCGCCCAAGGCGTGTACGAACGCCCGACGCCTTGGGCGCCTATCTTGGGCGTTCGACCATTTTTTTGCGAAAAAAAAAGCCCTACAAATCGATTTGTAGGGCTTTTTAACATGAAATTGGTTCCGTAATCGACCTACCCAATGCATATTACACATAAAAGAGTCGAAATTACGTCAAAAAATCGAAGCCCAACCCTTCTTCAAGCTTGATTTCGAATTTTCGAATTTTTTTTTCTTTTTTTTTGCTATTTGCAGTTTTGGGGGTTTTTATGATATTTTTAAAAGTTTTGGGGGTTTTTATTAGAAACCGCGAATAGCAATTTTGTGACCGCAAATAGCATTTTCTTAAATTTCTTATTACTATTTTTCTTTTCTTTTTATTTGTTATGTATATATTAATATTATAGAGTAGAGTAGGTGTGACAGGCTGACAGACAGCCATCCTCATCTATGTTTAATCATGAATTATTAATTAATTTATTTTTATTCATTCTTACTTGTGTGTATTTGAATTGAGACCATTAATTAATTAATTAATTAATTAATTATTAGAAATTAGAAATAGAATCCCCTCTCTAATCTTTCCCCCTTCTCTCTGCAACCCTAAACCATCTCTAATTCCCTTTTCAATTTCACATTCATCTCTCTCCAATTTTGAATTCAATCCTCATTATTCCTCCGGGGCGGGGGAATTTGATCAATCGCCCATTCTTTCTTTTCTTCCCTGCTTGTTGGGATGACCTGAAATTTCGTTTCTTCTTTTATTTACATATTTATACAAAACAAAAAAAAAATAAGATACGAGATAGGCAGAAACTAGGGGGGGTAAAGATGCCTGTTCAGGAGTTGCAGATGAACCCTCAAATGGAGCAGATCCATGGCGAAATCCGCGACACCATCCGTGCCCTTGCGTATTTTCTCTCTCTAGCTTTATCCTCTATTTATTTTGAATGTCCTTGTGCTAATGTTTGTGTTTCAGTTGAATTTTGGTGTGCATCGGTGTTTTGATGAATGGCATTGTTCTTTCTCATTCATTGTGGTCTGCATGTCGACCTAAAACAACGCTAATTTCATTGTTTTTCCTTCTTCAAATTGGAAGCTCTGTGTGTTTTTCTTCTAGTGATAGCATCTCTTTTAGTTCATCACGGCTGTTCTTTTAACCAGTAATGGCTTCCAAAAGCTGGACAAAATCAAAGACTCGAATAGACAAAGTAAACAGCTGGAGGAGCTTGCTGGCAAGATGAGGGAGTGTAAAAGGTGAGTTCGCCTTCTGCGCCGTGGTTTCTCTTTATAATTAAAATGGCTACAGTTTGGGGCTTCAACACTATTTTTGGAAGGGCAAGTGGCATTTATATATTGTTTGAATTTTCACATATTCGTTCGTTTGAGCCTGTTTCATTCATTGTTGGTTGCACGTGAATTATTCCAGATTGATTAAAGAATTTGATCGTGAAATTAAAGACGAGGAAAGTAGAAATCCTACGGAGGTGAATAAGCAACTTAATGATGAGAAGCAATCAATGGTAAGCACATTCAGAACTTGAAATTACTTTTATGCTGACTCACTTTCATTTATCAGTGAGGATATTATTTTCCCTTCGTCGAACCGGGCATATTTTTCTCTCATCAAACCACAGTCGCAGACTGAAATACTCGTAATATTCAATGTTTAAATTCTTGGGAAACAAAAGATAATATTTAGGCAAAGGCGGAGATAATAATGATATTTGATCATGGAACTGCATTTGCTGATTTTTATACTTCCGCGGTTTATTTATTTATTTTATTTGTGCAGATCAAGGAGTTGAATTCCTTTGTAGCCTTGAGGAAAACGTAAGTTTCTTGAAGTATTTATTCTCGATTAATTTTTTGGTTGATATTGCATTCCTTTTGGTTTTTCTGATACATCTTCCCGGTAACACTAGTAGTTAAGAATGGGAGGGGGTCTCTGGATAGTGCATGCTAGCTATTTCGTGTCTTCCTTGTTTTTACTTATTTACTATTCTATCTCATTTTGTGGTGCAGCTACATAAGCACTCTTGGGAATAAGAGAGTTGAACTTTTTGATATGGGAGCTGGTGCCAGTGAGCCGACAGCTGATGAGAATGTTCAAGTGGCATCAGGTAGCATTACAAGTCTTTCTTAATTCTATTCATTTCCATCATCTGATGAATAAATGTGAAAGAGCAGTGTCAAGGCATTATTATGCTGTAATACTTGTATGTAAATAGCTTTTTTTCCCCTGATTGGTTGCCGCTTTTCTGCCCTTTTGCCTTTTGTATTCGCTGGGTTATTATTCCGGGTAATCCATAATAATCTTTGATCTTCTACTGATCGAGTGAAGACTACAGAAACCATTGTGGTAAACAGCTTGCAGCTACAAACCTTTATTGACACTTGCATTTTCCCTTATGATAAACTTCTATATATGAATATATGGGGAGCTGACCTAAAGTGTCCCAATACGGCCCATCATTTTTCTATGTCTATTATAATGCGACATGGTTGACATGAGGGTGCGTACAATGTCTATTTGAAGCTAAGGGTGTCACAACATATCCTAATTAAGTCAAGGGCTTCCTTTCGATTTTAGCCTGTAGTTGTGTAAATCCTGTATTTCTGATTGAAGCTCTGATTTTAGCCTATAGTTGTGTCTGGTTATAATTGTAACTTTTGTTGTTACAATTTAGCCTGACGCGACCATGATATCTCCATCATTGAATTTATTATGCTGTGGATGTCATGCTATTGGACTATAATCTGCATTTATTGCTGTCTTCATGAGTTCCAATTCTTAGATTGATGGTTCTTCTGACCTTTATAGCTGACAATTCTTTCCATTTTCGTCTATTAATATAGAAATGTCAAACCAGGAGCTTATTCATGCCGGAATGAAGACAATGGATGAAACTGACCAAGCTATTGAACGTTCCAAACAAGTAAGAAATAAAATTTATGTGCATTTCGAAGTTTGGTTAAGTGTCGATGGTATTCTAAACCCAGTGTAATTCTTAGGTTGTTCACCAAACTATTGAAGTGGGAACAGAAACTGCTACAACTTTGAAAGGCCAAGTGAGTGCAACTTTATGCATGCTAATTTGATTGACCTCAAGTGTTCGTTGTCTAATCACTGACATACTTATACTTATATCTACAGACTGACCAAATGGGTCGCATAGTCAATGAACTGGATACAATACAATTCTCCATTAAAAAGGCATCACAGCTTGTAAAGGAGATTGGTAGACAGGTAAATGAGTCGGAAATACTACCTATTTCGTCTTTGACTGTTGTATGCAAAAAATCTAATATTGCAATGTGCTTTCTCAGACCCAAGAGGCATTTGAAACTTTTTGTGACATGATTAAAAAAACTTGCGAGGGTCATTTTGTGCACTTGACTATCTTCTTTGCTTGATCAAGCTTTTTATTGTTTTTTATTCGTGTGTGTTTCAGGTGGCTACTGATAAATGCATCATGCTTTTTCTTTTCCTGATTGTATGCGGGGTTGTTGCAATAATCGTCGTGAAGGTATTTCAATCTCAATTTTACAAGCGGATGTACATATTTGTAATATTTGCTCCGTTTACTTTTATTGTGGTAACTGATGTGTGATACTTGTGTGTGCTGATTAGATTGTGAATCCGAACAATAAAAGCATAAGGGATATACCTGGACTGGCTCCACCTGCTCCTACGACGAGGAGATTGTTGTATGTAAAGCCTGCACAATACTTTTGAGGTAAAAAGGGGTCACTATGCAAAACCAATTTTCATTTATTCCTGTTGTGTTGTTCTAGTCTGGTTTGTGCTTGAGATGTGTGCATATATGTATCTACTTTATGTAAAGCATATATATAATTGTTGTTGTTTTTATTTTTCTTGGTTTTTCGTATTTTCATTTATTCACTTGTGCTGATTGGTTTGGATGCTATTATCATTGTAAACAATTAAAGAGGAAACTTTGTTACTCTGAGCGAAAAATTAATATTGTATTCTTATATTCATTTACTCTTATTGTGGAGTGA